AGGCAATTTACATTGAATTACAAAGCTTCTATAGATGTTTCAATTTTCTGTTTGTTAAACTTACATTTGTTTCTTGTTCCTATATTTAATCAACTTTGTTTCATATTTCCAAACTGCTTATTGTAAAATTTCATTCATATGGGATTTACAGTTTAAATCTATCAAATGATTAAATAAATAACGGAATAATAATATCAAATAATATTTGATCAAAATCTCAGCTTTCTATTGAAGTTACCTAAATTCAGCATTTTGCAAATGTGGATTGAGTGTGACATTATAGGAATCATGTACTGGGAGGTTTTGCATTCAGGGTCAGTCTCTGGGGAAATATGTGTATCTCCCTCTATGGCTCTGCTGTCTGTCAGGAGTATATAACAGATATATCGTATACCTATTGAGTAGGTTCCTGGGACATTGATATTGTACCTTTTATGGTTCTGGATGTTTTACATTGATTTTAAAGCTTGTATGAGATTATTTCAAGGCTAATATAATATATATGGAGGTCCAGAGGGTAGATATAATATATTGACCAGAGGATAATCCCAATATCATGAACCATCTATACAATGTGGTCAATTCTGATAGTTTCTTCATAAAAAATATATTGTTTATGTAACTAGTATTTTTAACTTTTGATACGACTAAACATATTTTATCCAAAATTTTATTTTGTCCAAAATTAGAATTTTTGAATTTCTGATAATAGATGTACTAAATATATATTGGCATATACATGTATATATAACATATATCCTATATGCTGCTGACTGTCTGACACAGTAATCAAGTGGATTCAACCTTTCCTTGAACATAATTGATTTTGCCAAGGTTAAGGTTTTAAAGTTTGATATTATTAAATGTATCAATGATTAGCTATGACGTTTTCCAGACAATGAGATACCACTTTAGCTTTGTAAACTTTCCTCATTTTCTTTAAATCATTTAAAAATAGAACCCAATTCTACAGCTGGAATTAACATCAAAAAGTATAGATTTTACATCAAGTGATTTAATTTCTGTGAGTTTCACTCTTATTCAATCAATTGAGAGGATGAGGATATGAACTTGGTGAAATTGAAAGTGTGATTGTTTGTATTACAAACTATGTCACCAAAACATCAGCTCCGATGGTGTACATAGTTACTATATACAAGAGGAATGATTCTTATGTGAATAGATTAAATGCCCAATACTTGACATAACATTTACAATATGCTGTGAAGTATTTCATTTAACTGCTTGAAGTTTGAATCATTAAAAATCCTCTGAGATTTGTGAGAAAAGGAACATAAAGATTTTTATCAGCTGTTTGAGATGCTGTTTCATTGATGTTTTTGTCTGAATTCAATAGAATTGACTATTGGTTTACAAAGATCAATTTCTGACTATTCCAATGCAACTCACTTTAAATCTGTATGTATAATATATATTGTCCAATCTTATATATTTATCTTTAAGGTGTTCTTACACAAAGCTAGGATCCTAGCACAAAGCATTTGTTTTGCTTATTTTCTTAAAATTAACCTTTTCTAATATTTTACATCCATACATACACTATGGTAGTATTGCATCTGGCTCCCTATATATTCTCAAACTTGGTTTGGTATATGTGTTTTTGCAGGATTCGGATGAAAATAAGGTTGCAATGCTATACTAACTATATACATGTATACTGACTAGTATCATTGGAGATTAATTTATGAAATTGAGATTGTAGTTGCATTTTTTATGATCTCTTTTTCCCTACAATGTAGCAGATAGCACCTAGATAATGAATAATGCAAATGGATGGTGAATAGCCAGTCGGATATTGTAGTTAATGATCCACATCAACTATCCATAGTCTTCCAAAGGAAATGTCTCTCAGCCTGGGTTGGTTGTTTTTATTTATTTCATATAAGTCTCCCTTTACTTTAATACCCTATAGGTTCAGAGTTGACTATATGCAGATAAAGCTCTCTTTTAAGGAAGAAAAATATAACTTTTGGAAAAGATACTTTGACCTATATATGAACCTCCAGAGTCTTCCCTCATCTCAATTGTTATTTTGTTGTTTTTCCATCACCATGTTCCATTGTAACAAAGTCACGACCAATAGATACTTTATTATACCAGTGCCATTTAGATTTACCATTAACTTTCCTCTAATACAATAGGTAAATGCCATGAAAAATATCCTGATCAAACACATTTTAGATCAAGCCTGTTAAAACGTGGTTAGGATGATGAAGTCCTATATATAAAATATGTCAAGGTTGATTTCAGAAACCAAGAAATAAGAGCAGTATAGAGGAACATGAGAAAAATCATGAAATAAGTGTTTTCCTCATACTCTAGAATATATCAAATTGAAAAGGGTCATCTATTTTAGATATAGTTAGAGAAATTGTAAGAAATTGGCATAATCCAAATGAGGGATAAAGGAGAAGTGTATCATAGTGATAGAGAAATATTTGGATTGGTAGCCATAATACATCATAGGAAACATGTTGTCTCTCTGTTAAGATAACTGTTCAATAGTTACCTCTTTGTCTGGATATTTCACTTGATTTGTCAGATAGATTCTAAGCATGGACAACTGTCATTGCTACACACCTTTGTCTATTTATTTATGTCCTTTTGTTTTATGTATATTTTATATTTTTGATTAATACATCTTTGAGTATATGTATACGTACTTTTTGGGAGAATAAACATTTTATGTATGAGTAATTTCATTTCTGCTCAGGTCTTCATTTCTTAGTATATCAAACTCTCAGTTAAACATATTACAAAAGTTTATTGTTTGCATCTAAAGTCATTGAATTTTGTGTTTTCCTTCCTCAGTTGAACTTACCATATAGAATGACTTGCAGGTGTGTGAACGGCTATATTGCTTTTCAAACTGAGAGAGCTTCAACTCATGCGATACGCAATAAATTTGATGATTTTTCACAGATATTACTTTTCTACTGGCCAGTAAAGAAGTCAAAATGAAACTGAAAAAAATTATATTTGTTTTGTTTTCATTTTTGAATAACAACACATTTCTTGTGAGTGTTGTTTCTTTCCACATATCACTTAGTTGTATTTATTACTTTCACAGGTTTCATAGCATAGAAATAAACAATTGTATACACGTTGCTTTGGACTATATGAGCAATAATAATGAGACATCACTGACTGTCGGGGGAAGAAACCAGGGGGCATTCCCCCTTTAATAAATGATGAAAATGCTCAATTGAAAAATTGTTAAGTTCATAACTTTATTATACAAGAGTATTTGTTGCATAATTTTTTATTATGTATATACTACACTGGAAAGTAGAATAAAATATGTCACCATTTTTAATTGGTTATTATGAAGTTATAAATTGCACCCTGGCTATTCATTCATGTATATAGAGGATAGAGGTTCATGTATATTGTACAAATTTAGAAAAAATATTGGTTAAATATGTGATTGTTATCATATTAGACAATGAGAACAATTATTATACAAACACTGCTGGAATTTATAATAATTTATAATAATTAATAATTTATCATAATTTATTTGTATATCTGTATTTAATATGTATCTGCACATCTCGTCTTACTGATGTTTTTTCTTGTAATTTTTTGCAGTTTTGCATTTAGATGTGTGAAAAGCTTAATATCATTCAGGGAGATAAAGCTTTGCATTATATTAAATGCAATCATCCAAATGAAATTGTATCAATAACAATTAGATATATTGTATGTATAATAATATATCTATAGGTCTCTACTTAATTATTACTTTTAAGCACATTTATTCCACATATTCAACAATAATTGATTTTTACGTTTATTATACTGGTATTTAATTATTGAAGTGAGATCAACAATATATTTTGAATAAGTCAATATACCAGGTATAAAACTATATTATGAAAATGTCATAGATATCATTAAACTGAAAATTATGTGCACATAAAAAATGATGCAAATACATGTATTATAGTCTACAGTATAAATCAAATTGATAATGGTAATTTCATGATGATTTGGAGTATGATACCCTGTTCAAGTATTTTCTTATTTCCTTCCTCTTCATGCCACTGATAAACCTTTTACTCATGAGGCCAGTTCTGTCTGACATCATTCATAAACAGTTCCCTATATATGCAAAAATCACATGTACATTGTACTAGCTTGGAGCTGCAAGACTAAATCATTGATTGATTGATTACTTAAACCGTGAACTGATCAGTCCTAGTTAGAGGATAGCTATACTAGCTAGTGATCCCAGGGTAGGAACATATCTGAGTTGATTTCAATTTAGATAGCTGACTTCAGAAGATCATTTTTCAGTCATTGCATGCATAATCCACGCCATCTTGAAACAACACATCAAATACATCATTTACAATCTAAATCATAAGTAAAACATGTTGATTTGATCAGAAAGTGATATTCTTCATAGTTATGACATCATTGGTTATAATACAGTGTTAGCAGGCCAGTGTGAAACACAAAAATGAACAGAATTTAACCAAAATTATAGCCTTACTTGAAGTGATTTCCCAATCCTCTCAAGTGACATTTTGAAAACTTGCACCCATTTGAAAATTAGAAGCATCATGAAAATGCATTACGTTACTTAACTTGTAGAATACATTACTCAAATTTAAGATTACATTACTCAAATTTTAACATAACTGAGAATTGTGCACCAATATGGGAAAATGAATTACCCAGCAGTGATTTCCCCAGGTCTTGTTATCAATTCTAGTCAAAATATGTTCATATTTCATTTATATGTTCAATGAAGTACAGCATCTTGTTGCTCAGTGGTAAGGAGATCACTGCATTGTTACTTTAGTCTTATTTACAATGGGTATCATTATAATGATCTTCATTGCTATTGATCATTTCTATAAATTTATTCTCTTTGATCTTATCCATAGATATGGTCTGCATCTGTTTCATTAAATATACTCTATAAATGTAGCAATTATGAGTTGTAATATTTTGTTTTACTTTATTTCCAGAAAAAGCACATGGAGAGCAATATGGTTAGCATTGGTATTCAAAATGAGTCAGGAGTCCTACATAATTATTCACCTAAGAAGTCTCGGCCTAAAACAAAGACAATTATGTTAATGGATGCCGCAGTACAAACAGGTGAGTCTATGGACCAAACTAGAAAAATTCAATTAGGGCAACCTCTAGGAAGGCAAGGAGTACTTTATCTAGCTTTTGATAGGTATATCTTCCTGTCACAGAGGTATTTGGTTATAGATAGTGATACCCCATTAACTGTTTTAGACTACACCATAGTAACACCTCCACTCAGAATGCAAAGTGTAAGTCATGCATAACATCCTCATACTCAAAGTCTTTCTAGGTTGAACCTTTTTCCCAAACGAAAAGCAAGGGTTTCCACCCAATGAAACAAATAATTTTAAAGCATCTGATTGGTTCTTAAATATTGCCAGATGACCCACTCCTGAGCTGACCCTGGACTTGATGCCAAGTCTAAGAAAATACTTATTTACATGTTCAGCCAAAATGAACAAGAATCAGCAATTGTAAAAAGAACCAACCTAATTGATTGAAGTAAAAACATGAGAAACGTTAAGGAAAAACGATGAATTTTATAATGAGACAAACCTAAGTTTCAATCATACTTTTGTACTCTTATACATAATTGATATCCATGTACTTTTATAAGAGAACTGTTATTTGAAAAGATGTTTAATGTTATCTTGACTTGTCTGTGGAATTTAAAGACTCATAAGTGGAAGTGGATTGTCATTGGAATTTGAATTTTAAATTGATTAATGAAAATTACATCACATAAAAGTACACACCTGGTAATCCTGAAAACATGAATATGATCCATAAAGGTCTGCAAGTCACGTCATTTGCAAATATAGACAACATTACAATACATTAATTCTATGTGTTAATTGTTAAAACATGAGCAAATATTTAAATACTTAGATTTTAATTGTTATAAATTGTTTAAAAAATCGATAAATGAACTGTCATTAAGTTTCAAAACTGTCTGAATGTTCTCAAAAAGCATTATTGATGTTATGTGCCTTGTGTTTGAGTGAGCAGGATGTTGATTTTAATGTGAATAAATATGCATTTGTATTGACAAAGGGTTATGTAACATTTTCCAATCTTCTCGGCCCATTTTGCCATATATGGTTAAGACAAAAGCTGTGTTTGTTATCATAATATCATAATTCAAAATTCAAAATTCAAAATCAAAATACATGTATTATTAATTGCTTTTTTGTTTTAAAACAGCAATTTCATGTATCTTTTTCTTAAAGGAGTTAGAAGGGATTGAAAGTCAAAAATGTAAGAAGCATTTTTTCAAAAACCAATATTTCCCTTCATACAGTAATATAATTTCATTTTGTGAAAATTGATATCTGACAAATAAAGAAGTATTCAACAATTTAAGATGAGACAACTTTTTCAAGACTATCTTACTTTCTATCCTTTTCTCTTTTAAAGGTTTGTTATATTGCAAAATATTTACAAATTGCTATTTGCAATATATAGGCTAGGCAAATGGAAGTTTAACATCCCCAAAATTGCAACAGTTTTTAAATTAGGCTTATATTGTGTATTGATACCAGTTGAAAAACATATCAAAAATGTAGAAAAATATATGCAGTGGACAAATATGAAATATCACATTCTAGGTACCCCCTCCAAATTTGAGTATGGGATTGTAAATATTTTTTTATTTCAAAATGGGATGCTCTTCTCAATTAAACGAGTAATATTATTATAGTTTACTGACATAAGAGCAACTAAAAATTGTTAACCAACTATTTGAGTGCAATAATTGGCATTTCTAGCCCCAAATATCAGAAAATAAGCCATCAAATAGCCCGAATTTAATATAACAATGTATTTATTTCTGTATCTATTCATCAGAATTGCATGAAAAAAATCAAGGAGGTTATTATACACCTGACCATTGTATTTAATAAGTATCAGGGTCATTAAGTGGATATTGAGGGTGAAAATAATATTTGAAATTTCAATATTTTACCACATACACTTTTGGGGTGACCTTACTTTTGTTTAATTACTTCCAAGAAATGTCATATTTGAACTCAATAGCACAACTAAATTATTTGTAAAGGCTTATTTTGTCCTGAAAACAGTTTTTTGATGTTTTCAGGAAAGGATTATGTAAAAAAAAGTAGAAAAACGGCAAATGCCAGGTGAAATATAGGGGAAGCCCTACTTTTAGTTGATAACTGCTAAATTATCAAATGTTTTTTCCTTTTAAATTCAATTTGATATATAATATACCTTTTCTGGTAAAAGAGAGAACGATTTGTTAGAAATTAAGTACAATCGGTGGTCCAAAAATATCCTTGAAAAGGCAACAAAATGTTAAATATCCCTGTCCCTGACATCAGTTAATTAATATGAGCCAAAAAAGGTAACCCAACCAAATGTTAAGGCAAATGTTAATAACCCAGTCATTCAGCATAGGTGTGACATCATATTTGGCACAATTACCTTGTTCAATGTTCTTTCATTCTACTAAGTGTCATTGGTCTATCCTTAATAGTCACGATTTTATGGCTATTTACAAAATGTGCTCAAAATATCGAAATGTGCCTAACTGACTGGACATCAATACCACCATTTTTTATTATCTGTGGACCTTTTTTCTATACTAACAACACTTGAAACATTAAAACAAGAGACAAGAATGAAGATGAGAGCCATGACACAAGATTTTCATGCTCCTGATTTGAACAAATATGTACGATACGTTCAAGTTGGCCTCCAGGCATGACACTCATATTTCGTGGCATGGTATAAAATGACCATAAAAATCATGACCACTAGAGATAGACCACTAAGACTGGGTAGATTGACCAAGGCTCAATTATGCCAAATATGACACTAAATCCATGCAGGATGACCGGACTGGGTTATTAAGATTTGTTTGGGTTACGTTTTTGGCTCGCCCTGTATTAAGGAAAAAGTGTTACTTTTGACTAAGGTGTTCTTAACCACACAGTGATATTGAGAAATGAAATGAAGAAGTTCAACTGAAAAATGTTGGATTTCAAGATGAAATTTAATAAAAAATGAGGAAAAGGTTTCTACGTTAATGAACACTACTGAGTTAACTAGTGTAAATCCCTGGTCTTTATACAGGGCATGGCTCGATTATGTTATGTTCATTATCAAAAATGCTACCTTAATTTTGTAATCTTAACCTTCATATATGTGTCTTACTTATAGAGGCAAAAAAGAATGCTGATTAAATAAGCTAATATTATGTTGTAACAACAATCAGTTACAACCTTGTCTATCACCAGTCTTCATCAAGGGTGGATCTGGGAACCAACAAGGGGGGGGGGCAAATTTCAGGTCTGAGAAAAAGATTTCTGCGCTTGCGCGAAAAAAGATTTTGGGCCCCTAAACCCCTAAAGTGGGCCCAAATTTTGAAATATAGAGGCCCATTTTCTCTAAAATTTGGCCTGAAATTAAAAAATAAGGCCTTAAAAGGCCCTCTTATGACCAAAAGGCCCACTTTTTGAGGGCCTTAAGGCCTTTTTTTGGTCCCAATTTTTATTCTGGGCCCACCCAAGGGGGCCCGGGCATCCACCCCCCCCCCCCAGTGCTCCTTATTTAGTCATCATTATTTTCATGATCAGTTATGGAGGTATTTGCACAAATGCCTTTGCATACCTACTTCATAGAAGTACAATATGCCTTATACACACAATGGATGATCTCTGAGAGAGGGGAGCTGCATTTAGGCAATGGGAACAAACGTTTCGTTGCTTATTTCCCAGCAGTTTATTTCCCTCCCACTCCTGGATCTGATGGTATACTCTATAATTGTTGTTTTCCGCAGCATCAGAAGTTGGAGGAAGAACACGGGGGGGGCTGCAATAATTCAGATCTTGCTGCTCTCTTTTAATAGAATTTTTGAAGCCTAAGTTCATTTAGGGTTTCACATTTTTTCCACCATAAATTGACAAAAGAGCACGTTGTAGGCAGAATTATCACAAACATGTATCAGTATTATTATTATTTAAAAAATGTACATATTTGCGAACAAATAGTTCAGAAGACAACAGAATCGTCGATTTACTTTCTCACTTAAGTTACATAAACAGTATCTTGATAAACAGTTAAGATCTGCACTTTGAACTGCCACCGTTTATGTAACTTAAGTAAGGAATTAAATCAACAATTATGTTGTCTTCTGAGCTATTTTTGCGCAAACATGTACATTTTCTAAAACATATGATACTGATACACGATTGTGAGAAACAAACATCATGGGGATTCTGCCTACAGCGCGTGAAAAAAAGGAAAAAAGAAATATCGTGCCTTCGACGTTTAGACATTTTGTTACCGAAACGACCCGACCAGTGCTTTGATAATTTAAAAACAACCGCTTGTTTTCTCAAGAACTCACTCTTTTCTATCTGCCTCAATGATAGCTTCTTGTCTATGCCAATTATAACCTGAATGCGTTGTCACACTCCAGAAAAGATAAACAAAATATTGTCAAAGACCACTTTTCCCGAAGACAATCTTATTTCATTTATATTCCAACATTTTGATTCTTGGGTTGCTGCTTTTGGTTCAGCTTTGAAGAAAATGTTGAAGTTTGTGTTTTGTGCATGATAAATGAGAAGCACAAGGAGACCTGTATGAGTACTGTATTTGAGGTTTGGACACTTTGCATTGCAGTTTTCACAATCACAATATCTGCATCCGATTCTGAATGTAGCACATGTACACTCAATGTTTTCCAACCTGACAGACAGATTTACCATCATTCCTACGCACTGAAATTATATTAATGAAAGACTCCCCAGATATCTGAGATTTAAATGTGCTCTATCAGTTTAAATTCTGTTTAATAACCATAAATTCGTTTCTACAGCAATGTACATCCAATTGATAGTTCCAAAGTAATGTACTCTTATGTAATGATTTATTTATCTGATGAATTTAAATTTTGTAATTGCGGATTGTAAATAATAATTTAAACAATATTAAATTCCACAGAAACTACAACTTACATTATTTAGATAAGCCTAGTATAGAGCAGTTATCAAATACCCTAATATCAGAGTGGTGTTATGTAATTATTCATCAAATACAAG